ATTCTCACCAGCTCAAGATTGACTCAGCCTTCCATCCTTTCGAGGTCGGTAAAATGAGAACCCAGATTGTTGGGGGCAATATGCTGACTCTGTAAACTGCTGAGGGAGGAATATAAAGCACTATGAAGTTTAAGTCTATTGCTATTGCTAAATGCTATCTCCCATAAATCACATGTTTCCATATCCATTGTTATATTTTAATCCTTAATCAAATGCAGAATTTTGGTAACACAATCATGGATTCAGGGATGCATTATTTGTTTGTTTGTTTGTTTGTTTGTTTGTTCATTTGTTCATTTGTTCGTTTGTTTGTTCATTTGTTCGTTTGTTTGTTCGTTCACTCACTCACTCACTCACTCACTCACTCACTTACTTATTTAATATATCTGCCAATTCATTCATGGGAACTCTTAGTGCTTACAGAAATAAAATCCCAAATATAAAACCCAATGAACCCCTACCCCCCCGTGACAAAATCAACAAATCATGTGATTGTCCCCACAACACAATTGTCAAGTGTATGCATTTTAACCATGGAATACTGTAATTTCTCTTAAGTGTGAAAAAGTGTAATAAGCCAGTTTTTCAGTACTGTTGTAATTTCGAATTGTGACTAAATGAATGGTTGTCAGTCAAGGACTTTATCTATTGATTATTTTCACCACACACAGCATGGTCCCTTCTCTCTGGCTCCCTGTAATTGGTGATACATATAAGGGAGAATGTGCGATAAAGTCAAGTATGTTTACTTAAAATATTTACTTCTAATTCCTCTGTGTGATATTGGCTAGTGTATCAAACATATTTATACAGAGACTGTATCAAACAATCTCTACAAATTCCATTGATATAAGATTGCATTCTGCTCTGGGTCAGCATGGAGCACTCATTCAATGGAGGTCATCATATTTTATTCTTAAAGAATTAGAGTAGAAGAGGATAATAGATTGTTTGGTTTTTGGTGCCTGAATGATAGACCAAACCTCACATCAACATTCCTACCATTGAATTGCTATAGTCTTCATTTTGAGACTGACTTTAATTTGCCAATCTCATGACTAAAATACTTAGCATAATATTTTTTTTTCAATGTTTCTCTAGCCATGTTTTTAATAGTATCTTGCAGACAGAGAATTTAAAAAGTAAGCATAATTTTTTGTATCTTATTTGCTAGTTACAAAACTATTGGTCTTGGAGAGAAGGCGGGGCTTAGCAGTGAGAAGACGGACTTTCAGGCATTTCCTGAATGACCAT